TCTTCCTGCTTTCCCTTTCGCCTCCCTGCATTGTGCCTACATATGCAAATTAACCGCCATCTTTGTTGGCAGTTAACTGCCATCTTAGTTGGCAGTTAATTTGCATATCACCCTGATTAGCCAATGAAAAGGGTAGAGGTCGTACGCCAATTACCATATTTCTCTTTTATTAGTGTAGACTAGAGGCCTGGTACCCGGATACATGCACCGGTGGGGGCCCTCAGCCTGGCCTGCGTCCTCTAGCAATTCAGGACCTCTCAGGGGATGTCAGAGTCAGTTTTGTCCTGATCCCTGCAGGCCAGGCCGAGGGACCCCACGGTACATGATTGGGGACAGGTAGGGGCCACGGGAGGGTTCCAGGGCGTGTCCTGCTGTCTCGCCCAGTCCCGATTGGCTGGACCCCAGCAGCAAGCTAACCTACCTGTCAGAGCATCTGCCCCCTGGTGGTCAGTGCGCATCATAGCGACTGATTGAATGGTCAGACACTTAGCATATTAGGCTTTTATTATATAGGATTATTATATAGGATGCGTGTTATTCCCTCACAGGTCCTCTTATTCTCAGGTACTCAAATTGTCCCACTTTTACTAGTGGGAGGCTTTTCAGACTGTCTTTTGTATCCCTTCGACATGTCCCCGTTAAAAATTTCCTTACTTTCTGAGCAGTTCTGGGGTCATCATATCTATTTCCTGTCCCAGAACAGGAATCCACCCTTCTCCAAGGAGTCCTGGCTTGTTTGAATGGCAAATGGTAATTAGAGACCATAATCTTTGTTCTTTTTTAAAACTGATTTTTTTTTTTTTTTGGCTAATCCTCACCCAAGGATATTTTTCCACTGATTTTTAGGGAGAGTGGAAGAGAGAGTGAAAGAGAGTTCTTCCCACATCGTGGCTATTGTACATGAACATAGGGGTACGCACATCTAGTGCAATAAGTGCTTTTGATTCTTTAAAATATTGCATTACGATATTATTTGTCTTGGTGACTCCATCTTTCAGTGCCCCACCTCTCCCCGCTCCCTTCAAGGTTGTGCCTGAGTTTGCGGGGCCTTGGGGAACTGCTGCTGCTCCAGGGCGCCACTCCCAGACAGAACACAGAGCTGCCCCTGTGGGTGACAGGCAGCAAAAGGGGGTGATGTGGTGGTGAGGGGTAACCGGGACCCTGGTTATAGTTACAGCATCGCAGTGTGTGGGTGATAGTAAGCATGTCTAACAAGCAGCGTGTCATGGGTTGTGACCACAGCTTGCAGCAAGCCAAGGCGTTAATCATTTGATTGCTGAATTGTGGGGACGTCCAGGGACTGCACAGGGAGGTGGTGGGGAGGCAGGGGCCCGGGAGCCCAATCAGCAAGGAAGAATTTTTCCATCTACACTAATAAAAGAGAGAGATGCAAATTGGCCGTACCTTTGCAACGCCCACCAGCCAACCAGGAGTGACTATGCAAATTAACCCAACCAAGATGGGGGGTTAATTTGCATATTCAGGAGCCCAGCGGCCATGGGTGGGGCAAGATGCTTGTGTTGTCGCCATGGTGATGATGCAGGCATTCCGCACTGCCCCAGTGGCTCCGGACCTCTGGGCAGTGTGGGAAGGCGGTGCTGGCAGCCAGGGGAAGGAAGGCCCATTCTTCCACAATTCTTCGTGCATCGGGCCTCTAGTCTATAATAATAAAAGCATAATATGCTAATCAGACGGGACATCCTTCAGGATGACCTTCTGGACAAAACTGGGGCTGCAAGGGAAGCCTGGGTCCCAGGTGCCTGCTGGCGGCGGGAGGGAAGCCAGTGCTGGCAGCCTGGGGAAGGAAGGCCTACTCTTGCACGAATTTTGTGCACCGGGCCTCTAGTATTTTAATAAGTGATGCAACATCCCTGCTGACTCTCAGCAGGCCCCCATTTCCTAGAGAAACCTGGGGTGATGGGCTCAGAGCCATGTGGCTCTGGTGGACCCCCTGGCACCTGTCTGCAGACTCACCTTCTCCCTGCCTCTCTGCTTCCACCCAGGACTCCCTGGAAGACGACATCTATGACTACCCTTCCACCTGGGACCCCAACACGCCAGTGGATAACTCTTCCTACACCGTGAGGCTGAGCATCCCGGACATACTCGCCCTGGTGATCTTTGCGGTGGTCTTCCTGGTGGGAGTGCCCGGCAACATCATGGTGCTCTGGGTGACAGGGATGGAGGTCCGCCGAGCCATCAATGCCATCTGGTTCCTCAACCTGGCCGTGGCGGACCTGCTGTCCTGCCTGGCGCTGCCCATCATGTTCGTGACCATCCTGCATCACAACCACTGGTATTTTGGGAACGCCGCCTGCCACATCCTCCCTGCCCTCCTCCTGCTCAACCTGTACGCCAGCATCTTGCTCCTGGCCGCCATCAGCGCCGACCGCTTTCTGCTGGTGTCCAACCCCATCTGGTGTCAGAACTACCGGGGGGCGACGCTGGCCTGGGTGGCCTGTGCCGTGGCCTGGGGCCTGGCCCTGCTGTTGACCATCCCCACCTTCGTGTTCCGGAAGGTGCACGTGGAATACTACCCCCCCAAGACGGAGTGTGTCCTTAACTACCACCGCAACAGTACCCAGGAGAGGGCCGTGGCCACCGTGCGGCTGTCTGTGGGCTTTCTGTGTCCGCTGGTGGTCCTCACCGTCTGCTACACCTTCCTCCTGGTCCGGGCCTGGAGCCGCAGCGCCACGCGCTCCACCAAGACGCTCAAGGTGGTGGTGGCGGTGGTGGTCAGTTTCTTCGTCCTCTGGCTGCCCTACCAGGTGAACGGCATGCTGCTGGCGTTCTTCCACGAGGAACACCCCCACTACAAAGCCGCGTTCCGGTTCGACCCCCTGTTCATCTCCATCGCCTACGTCAACAGCTGCATCAACCCCATCATCTACGTGGTCGCGGCCCAGGGCTTCCACGCCCGGCTCCTCAAGTCCCTCCCCGCCAGGCTGCGGAACGTGCTGACCGAGGAGTCCACGCTCAGGGAGTCCAAGTCCTCCAAGTCCTTCACGCTCTCCACGATGGACAGCCAAGCCCAGAAGAGCCAGGCCGTGTAGGGGGCGCCCGCCCGCCACGCTGCCTTCCTTCCGCTCCATTCTCTTCTGCTTCTTTCAGCTCAGCCCTGGGGGAGCTCTCCTCCAACCTTCCTCATCTCCAAGACCCACGAAGACTGCCTGCGGGGGCCACACAACCTTTCTCTTCACCTGAGGACGTAGAAACACGGACACCGATAGGCCAGGAGTTGCCCTGGTCGGCTTGGCTCAGTGGACAGAGCGTCGGCCTGCGGACGGAAGGGCCCCGGGTTCGATTCCCAGTCAGGGCACCTGCTCGATCCTCAGTAGGGGGTGTGCAGGAGGCAGTCAATCGATGATTCTCTCTCATCATTGATGTTTCTATCTCTCTCTCCCTTTCCCTTTCTCTCTGGAATCAATAAAAATATATTAATATCTATATATCTATCTATCTACCAGGCACTTGTTTGCACCGGGAGAGAGGGTGCAAAGTAAAGCCTTGGCCAGGTGACTCAGTGGATGGGAGCGGCGTCTCATATGCCCAGAGGTGGTGGGTTCGATTCCTGGTCAGGGCACAAACCCAGGTTGTGGGTTTGATCCCCGGTCTGGGCACGTAAGGGAGGCAACCGATCTCTGTTTCTCTCTCTCCCTTCCTCTGAAATCAATTTAAAAATGTATTTATTAAAAGAAAGAAAATACAGTAAAACCATAGAATACAGAGGCATGGAAACACTCCAATCTTTCAAAAATGGTTATGTGTTTATTTTATGGGGAGTTGGAAAAAATATGTAACCGGTGTGTCCAAGGTTATTCTTGTTTAAGAGAAAGCAAATTACACGGACCTACGCCCGGCCAGCATGGCTCAGTGGTTGAGCATCGACCTATGAACCAGGAGGTCAGGGTTCGATTCCCGGTCAGGGCACATGCCCAGGTTGTGGGCTCGATCCCCAGTGTGGGGCGTGCAGGAGGCAGCCGATCAATGATTCTCTCTCAT